TTTTTATCGATAAAAAAATCGGAATGAGTTATCGTTTTTTAGTGATAAACTCGATATGCGCGCGACGGACGGACGGACAGACAGACAGACGGACAAGGCCAAATCGACTCAAGATCAAGAATATATATACTTTGTGGGGTCTGCCACGCCTGCTACATACATTTCAACAAAACAATTATACCCTGATTTCCCATTTTCAATGGGCTCAGGGTATAACAAGTAAGAAAGCTCTAATCGATACTCGTCGACTACGTAATCCCCTGAACCCTTCGAAGAATTGATGGGTCACAATAATTCTTCGAGTCTTCCTCCTTACACAAGAAACACATACACTCACACCCAGAAACACATAGGGATGCAAGCAAAAACACGCTTTGGCTTCAGAGTGGGCTTACTATGGAAAATTAATTGCTTAATCACTTTTCTTGTTGATGAACCATGCTCATGAAACTTTCAATTCGTTATTATAATATTTAAGTGCGTGTATATGCCAAAGGTGAGGGTGAGGGGGTAAATTTAGAAAAATCCGAAATTTTATAAAATGCATTGATATATACTTTTTAAATTTGGAAACTTTTGCTTTAATGATGTAGGAGATATAATTTTAAAACTAATTTTCGATAAGGATTTTTATCGATAACAAAATAACAGGATGGTTTATCGATTCTGTGTATACGGATATCTAATTCTTATATCTTCTGGGATCGACGCGTTCGTACATACGGACAAACGGACAGACACACAGAGACTTTTGGATATTCAGGTGGCTTTTGACGGTTTACCTGACTGCGTGAGGGTGTTTCCATGATAGATTCTGTTCTGTTAAGTATTGGCGTTAATGTTGAAGAAATTCCGAATTTTACTTCATTATCAATCGCTGATATTATGTCTTGTTTTTGTGAAATTCATAGTGTGTTATGAGAACGTTTACGTGGCAGTTTTACGAACCAACTTCAAGCTTCAAATAAAATAAAAAAAAAAAACTAATGTAAATCCAATGAGAGTAATTTCGACATAGAGGCGTCCAGCAAAATCAAGCATTATGAATTACAAGAGGCTTGGAAACGAAAGTATATATAATAAAAGGTTAGACTTAAATTAGATTAAGGAGGCGACCGAAATGTATGGGACGACGAATTAACAAAGTTTTTTCAAGCGACCAGCCGTTTCTTACGAAACATTGAGGTTTTAGATCTAGCGGGGTACCAATTATCGGGACTCGACTGTATAGCTAAGCAATTCATTTTCTTTAAATTATAAAAAGTTTTGTAATTTTCATAGCCAATCTTATGTTTGGAATCGATTTGAATGGTGGACGATTTTTCTTTAATGCGGTGCGCGAAGGCGACAGCATTGCTTTTGCTTGTGACGATGAAAACGAATGCAGCCTCTGGGTTATGGCTATGTATAGAGCAACTGGTCAATCTCACAAACCCACTCCACCGATAACGCAGGACAAAAACTCAGCCATGTCTAAAATTCAAGGGGGTAAGTTAAGTCAATAAATAATTTATTTAAAATGATTCAAAGTAGTCAATATTTAGTGGTTGATACTTGAATTTCTTACGCTTAAATTATACAATATCTTTTTGACATAGATGCGGATAAGGCACGGAAGCATGGAATGGAGGATTATATAAGTGCGGATCCGTGTACATTTGATCATGCCAGCTTATTTAAAATATTACAAAACCTTACACTTGAGTACCGGTTATGTGATCCCTATGCGTCTTTGGTAAGTTGTTTAAAGACTGTTTCTAAATTGATTTGTTGTATTGTAATTTTTTTGGGGTGGTATAGGGATGGTTTAGTCCAGGACAGGTCTTTGTTTTGGACGAATACTGCGCTCGGTATGGTGTTCGTGGCTGCTATCGACATTTGTGCTATCTTTCCGATCTATTGGATCGTGCTGAAAAACAGCATATGATTGATCCCACATTGATTCATTATTCGTTTGCATTCTGTGCAAGCCATGTGCATGGCAATAGGTAACGTATTTTCTTTTGTACGAGCACAATCAGTTAGACTAAACTATTACGCCTATTATTATAGGCCGGATGGTGTGGGCAGCATAACACATGAGGAAAAAGAGAAGTTTTCAGAAATAAAAGAACGTTTACGTCAGCTACTCGAGTATCAAATAACAAATTTCAGATATTGTTTTCCATTCGGTCGGCCGGAAGGAGCATTGAAAGCAACACTATCGTTACTCGAAAGAGTTCTAATGAAGGATATCGTTACCCCAGTACCTCCAGAAGAAGTTCGACAAATGATTAAAAAAAGCTTGGAGACTGCTGCACTTATCAACTACACAAGGCTATCAGCTGAAGCTAAGATCGAAGGTAACTACCCATTTGCATTAAATTCAGCTGTTATCAAATATAAAATTGCTACTGAATTGCCCACAGAGGATTTACGTGGTGAAGTGATTGTACCACCACCTAAAAAACTTGAGGATTTGATACATTTATCCGAGCTTTGTGTTGATCTACTTCAGCAGAATGAGGAGCATTATGGCGAAGTAAGTTGTCGTTGTCAAGAAAATCGATATAAAAATATATAGCTACCTACATACATACCTGTATAAATTGTATATATGTATGTATCATACATTCATACATGCATACATACCGGTATGTATGTTATGTGTATGCTTTACAACGATATACCGTTAAATGTAAGTATTATGCAAGATGTTATTCTTATATTACTATTCTTACACTGTGCTACGCCTACACATGTGCTACGAATAAACTAATTTCTTTTAGGTGTGTTGTTTAAATGTCTGTAGGCGAATCTTATGTGTATATGCCTGCTACCTGTACAACGCTAAAAGCGAAAGTATGTACAGTAGCACTCTTTATGCATAATGTATTCCTTTTTTGTCACTCAATTAATTTTTATATGTATAATACTCTACAAAATATACCAAATCTATTAACTAACGTTACTTTTATAGTTTTACTTATTCCTTAAACTTTACCGCATATATGTATACGCCTGCTCCCTCGTCTTTATGTATTTATATGTATATGTATGTGCATATGTATATATGTATATTTATTTGTATATGTTGTGTGTTTAACCCACATCCCAAAAGTCGAGCACCCTCCGATTATATACCTACATTTTCCTCAATTTTGAAACCCGGTCGGATCTATCTATGTATATACCCAATATCTTCAGTATATATCCTTGCCAAAAGTCTTGAAAATCAACAATACATGTGGCTTTCATTCAATTGCAATTCTGTGCAATAATTAGCTAACTTGTTTGTTTATTCTATTCAATTATAAATTTATAAAATCCATGTTAAAAGCGCTTAGATCAAGTTTTTTCAAAAGCTTAATATATGTAATCTATATATAATATATAATATCTAACGGTATATTGGTATAGAGAAAAGTACAAACAGAAGGGGGAAATTGAGATATAATATCGACTAATTCATTTTTAACAGATTATTATTATTGTAATAGAATTTGACCCAAATAACATATGTATATATCTGTCAAACGAAAGATTAACTCTGTGGTAAATGAAGGATGAACACGCAATTAAAAAATTATCAATAGTGATCACAAAATAAATTATCGCTGCATTTAAATAATAATAACACTGTTGTTTAAAACATTCTTAACTCCTAAGTACATATATAAATTGTTTTTGGTACGCCATCTGTATTTGTATACTCGGCTTACACAATTTAGCTGCGAAAACCAGACAACAAAAAGGAAAGGGTTAAGACAATAAAGGAAGGCGGCGCAGATGGGACTGGACCGCCCAATGATGTTGGTTCCACTGTCGCCGGTACTTCATCTAGTCAGGGAAAGAATAGCATGGAACAAGGCTCTTTGGATGCTGCTACAGCTGCCGCTAACACTGACGGACCGCTGCAATTTCGCTACTGTATGCCCACACATGCGGTGTACACATCGCCAGTACCAACGGCATGTACTTCTCTCTCTCTCTCTCTCTCTCTCTCTCTCTCTCTCTCTCTCTCTCTCTCT